TTGTTGAGTATCACAGTGTTCCATCTCATTTCCCTTTGGGGTTGCTGTAGGTGATCTGGAAGTCTGGTTTTGAGACTTTGTTATGTGTCTTCTCATTTTGATGGGGGTGAGGGGTTGGAGGGTGGCACGGCTTACCTCCTCTGTGCTGGGAGCAGTAGTATGGTGGCCTGGAAGACTCCTCCTCTGTGCTCGAGACTTTTTAAAATTTAAACATCACTGTTTTTTTGATCACCCCTTGTACTCTGGAGTGGGAATAAGATAATCTCAGAGCCAGTGTTTACATGGCTACACTCAAACTGAAGTAGAGAATGTGAGTCAGTGTCCATAGGAGCCAAGGCCATGGCCAGGAAAATGGTTAATGAATTTTAAGTCCAAAAATTGAGGACAAAGTTGGAGCATAAAGCAGCAAGGCCAGTGACCATGAGAGTTAGAGATGGGAAAGATCATGTATGCTGTAGGTCAAGTAAACTAAGTCTGTAAACAAACAAATACCAAAGTTTCCTTAGCTTATGGCTTTGTTTGTAGTAGTCCTCCCTACCCTCTTTTTATCCCTGGGGGTCTAGAAAGGAATAATGAAGCCCAGTAATACCATAGTACCCAGGGCTCTCTTCCCTTTTCAGCTTCCAAAAGCAAGCAGAAGACAACCAGAAACAAGACTTTTCCCACATACCACTTACTCATAGGGAGCAAATATGGCTTCATACTCTCAGGTTTGGTTATCAGATAGGACTTGGGACTTAGAAGAGTAGAATATAAAGATAGCCATTGGTCACTCAGAATATCTGGGGTAAAAAGTGGGCAAAAAATGATCAGCCACATAGTGCTTAGCTTATCTCCTGTGGCACAGATCTTTTCTGGCCCAAGTACATGGATGGTCAAAGTTAGATGCCAGAAATGGCCCCAAGTTGACCTATAAAATGTTAGCTGTTGCTGAAAACTTTGTTCTCCTTTATATATTCCAGAAAGAAAAAGTTGACTTCTCCTACAACAAACTGGCCAATCCTAATTTTTCATTTTATTACAGTACTTTGGTGGAAGCAGTGAAAAATGGAGATAACTGGGTACACTTGTTTTTTCTTTCCCTCTCATTGTGTCACACTGTGATGTCAGAAGAGAAAGTAGAAGGTAAGGAGAGGCCTAGGATCTCAGGGAGTGAGAATGTGGCATAGAGTCTAGGGTGGTTGGAGGTGGATGTGGTTTGATAGGGTCTGTAATGACTCAGTCTAAGAAAGAACATTCTAGATTTTTTTTTTTGGTACTGGGGATTGAACTCGGGACCTTGTGCTTGCGAGGCAGGTGGCGGCACCACTGAGCTAAATCCCTGGCCCTAGTGGATACATCTGTCTGACCCCAAATCATACTCCTAACCAACCTTTTTCACAAATGTAAAACTCCAATTTTCCTGTTTTAAAATCAAATTGAAGCTGCATGCAATGGTATGTGCCTGTAATCCCAGCGCTTGGGAGACTGAAGTGAGTATGTAACTTGAGCCTAGGGCTTTAAGTGTTTATCAAAATGTAGCTGGTCTTAACCAGGAGCACCTTATTTATGCCACATGCATGAGAATCACCTAAGAGATTGTTTAAAATTCAATTTTCTAGGCCCTCCTTCCAGATTTTGTGATCCTGTTTCAGCGAGTTTGGGTGGGACCCAGGAACCCGCATTTTTAGTTAGTTCTCCGAGGCATCTTTACCCACTAAAGTTGAAAAGTAACTGCCTATGTTTCATTTGTTTGTATACATTGCATATACCATGTACCATGAGTTGAAAATATTGGAAAGAAAAAAAGACTAACATGTTCTGTGCAACAATGGGCTTTTAGGGCCAGACTTGTGAGGAAGTTTTGAAGAAAGATGTCCCTCCTGGGCTCCATCTTTATGTAAGCCACTTGGAAGATAATGTTACTTCTGGGTGGACTCCAGCTGCTCATCCCTGTGGATGCCTTCTTATCTCCTGTCAGGTGAGCTGGTGTACCAAGCTCAGTCCCCAGATGAAGGTGCCCTTGTCACTGCTGCCAGAAACTTTGGATTTGTATTTCATTCCCGCACGTCTGAGACAATCACAGTGGTTGAAATGGGGGTAACCAGAGTCTACCAGCTGCTGGCTATTTTAGACTTCAACAGTGTACGCAAGAGGATGTCTGTTATTGGTGGGTGCCCCTCTTAGTCAGCCCTCTCCCCTTCTTTGTCCTTTATACATATTCACATATTGATTTTCTCTGTCTTCTACACACAAAAGCTTCTCTCACTCATATGCCCTGTTACAGCCACTTTCTCACAGGTGCCACACATTCAGACACATACATTTCTACTTTATCTCTTACCTCCTTTAAATTTTCTCTTATACATATATGAGGACTTGCTACCATATGCTAATTTCCCTCCCTAGTGTTTCTGGATAGTGGCTTGCAATCACCCTCAAAGCCAAGATGAAGACAGAGAATACATTCCAAAAGGTTGAACATGGAATAAGAGATGGAAGCAAATAATGCAGCCGGCCCTCCTCATCTACAGGTTCCACATCAGTGGATTCAACCAACTATAGATCAAAAATACTTGAAAAATAATGAAGTTGCATCTGAGCTGGGGATGTACTCAGTAATAGAGCAGATCCCTAGCATGCACAGGGCCCTGGATTTAATCCCCCAGCACCAAAAAAAGAAAAATTATGTCTGTATTGAACATGTACAAACTTTTTTCTTATCATTATTCCCTAAACAATATAACATTATAACTATTTACATAGCAGTTACATTTTATTAGGTACTATAAGTAACCTAAAGATGATTTAAAGTATTTAGGAGGACGTGGGTAGGTGATATGCAAATACTCTGCTATTGTATATGAGGGATTTAAGCATCTGTGTTTTGGTACCTACAGGGGGAAAAGACTCCAATCTCCTGGGATACTGAAAGATGATCATATAGGGGGAGTTCATATTGTCTTGCTCTCTCAATTAGTTTTAGCCTCAGACTGAAGAGAAAGGTCATTTTTCACCCTTGGTCCTTACTGGGTGTGAGCCTTGGTCTGGGACTTGGAATTGAGAGTCTAACATTATTCTGCATCAGAGTCTTCAGAGGATATTGAACCATGGGAGAACAGGTTCCGTAAGTTCCTCTGTCACTCTCACCACACCATTTATCCTGTGTGCAACCACTCATTGAGTTCTTAGCCTCCAAAGGTAGCAGAAACAAGTGTCATGGGAAACTGTCTCCTGCCATCCCTCAGTGACCCAGACAAGTTCTTATAATAATACATCCTCATGGTACTTTGCTTAATTTGCTTGCCTTTAGTGCGGACACCTGAAGATCGGTTAATGCTTTTCTGCAAGGGAGCAGACACAATCATCTGTGAGCTGCTTCATTCATCCTGTACAGATCTTAACAATGTGACCATGGAACATTTAGATGTAAGTGTTTAGGTTGCAGGAAAAGGAAGCTGTGAATGATTCTTTGTGTCAGGATACATGTTCATAAATGTGTCCCATGTCCATGTGCTTTTGTATAGGTATATATTGGTATCTGTGTTTGTTTAGTTGGTGGAAGACTAAAACTCATTCTGTGGGATTCTCCCTAATCACATTGCCAACTTCAATGGCAAAGAGGTAGGTGGGACAGGGCCTTAGAGGTGGGACAAGTATCATGTCTTTGGGAGCACTTACAATAATGAGAATAGTTCTGTGGTTCCTGTCTCAGGAGGTTATTTGCTCTAGAATAGGGACTGCTAATATGGGAATATGGGAGGCTTATTTCATCAGCCATGATGACTGCCTTTAGGGTATAGAGTAGAAAGCACTGGGCTAGGCCACTGAGGGAATTTTTTAATACCTCTGTCTGTTGCCCACAGGATTAGAATCCCCAAGGACATCTCCCCTCTTCCTATCTTACCCTACATCTACCCTCTAGGATTTGAGATTTATTGAAAAGAGAGTGGTTCCAGCCTGCTGGCACAGGAAAGCAAAATCTGATCCATATCCTCTGGGATTTCTACCCCTAAACCTGAATATACAAAATGTTAGGGGAATAAGGAAAGAACAAAGGACAAGATGGGAGATGACATAAAAATAGTCTATAAAAAATAAATTGGAGAAAATGCTATTTCATTAGACTATTTGAAGATGACTTATGTTAACACACTGCCAGAAGTCAGAGACAAATAGCCAATAAGCACATGAAAAAATGTTCTACATCATTAGTCATTAGAGAAATGCAAATAGAAAACATGAAAGGGGCCGGGGATTTAGCTCAGTGGCACCGCACCTGCCTTGCAAGTGCAAGGTCCTGAGTTCAATCTGCAATACAAAAAACAAAAAAAAATGTAGTATCACTTTACACTCACTAGGATGGCTAAAATAAAAAAGGTGACAACAATAATAAATGTCAACAAAGATGCACAGAAATTGTAACCCTCATACGTTGCTGATGGAAAAGTAAAATGTCAACGCCACTGGAAAATAGTTATCATATGGCCCAGCAATCCTATTATTACATATATTTCCAAGAGAAATTAAAATATACATCTACACAGGGCCGGGGATTTAGCTCAGTGGTTTTGCCGCCTGCTGCGCAAGCGCAAGGACCCGAGTTCGATCCCTGGTACCAAAAAAAACCCCAAAACACAAATATACATCTACACAAAAACTTGTATATGAATGTTCACAGCAATGTTATACATAACAGTCAAAAAGTTGAAAACTCAAATTGTCCATCAACAGATAAATGGATAGATAAATTCTGGTGTACCTGCAAAATGCAATGTTATTCGACAATAAAAAGGAATGCAGGACTGATATGTGTTACAACACTAAGTGAAGAAGCCAAAAGGCCACATATTTTATTATTTCATTCATATGAGATGTCCAAACTAGGAAAATCTATAGAGGTAGAAAGTAAATTAGGGGTTCTAGGGGGAAGAGGGAAAAGTGGAGAATGACTGCTAATGGACATGTTTCTTTTGGGGGTGATGGAAATGTTCTGGGATTAATAGTAATGGTTGCACAAACTTTGTGAATATACATTCTGTGAATTATACACTTTAAAAGGGTGCACTTTAAGCCAGGTGTAGTGGCACACACCTATCAGCCCAGCACTCTAGGACGCTAAGGCAGAAGGATCACAAATTCAAGTCCTACCTGGACAACCTGGCAATTTGGTGAGATCCTGTCTCAAAAACTAAATAAGGGCTGTGGATGTAGCTCAGTGCAAAGGCCTTGTGTTCAGTACCATAAAAATAAAAATAATAGTGATTTTTTAAAATAAAAGGGTGAACTTTGAGTTGAGAATGTACCCTAGTGGTAGAGCACTTGCCCAGCACATTCAAAGCCTTGGCTTTGATCCCCAGCATTGCAAATTAATTAATTAATTTTACAGTGTGTGAATTGCATCTCTTTTTTAAAAAAATCATTGTACTGTCCTACATGAGATAGTTCTTCTATCTTATACTGGTTCCAAAGGCCACAGGATTTGTGGACTACTTGCATATCTTTTATCAATTCAGAACACATGAGTTATGGTAACTTTTCAGAGCATTTTCCCAGACTGGTTTCAAATGATAGCATAAAACTGTTTCAGATCTTTTGACGTGCTTCCTGCTACTAATGTCAACAAACAACTACACCAGGACCTTCATTCTCAGGAGTATTCTCAATCTTCTAACTTATGCTGACCCCCTTGTCGGGATGTTTTGCTAAGAAAGTTCAGGATTTGCTTTCTGATTAGACCAGGTATCAACCCCTAGTACTAACCAATCAAACCCTGTTGTACAAGCAGACAGGACCTCTGGGGGCAATCTGCCACTCCCTTAACTCAGCCTTAACCTAATCCTGCCTCAGTGCACACACGTCTTCCAGGATTTTGCCACCAAAGGCCTTTGCACCCTCATGGTGGCCTACCGAGAGTTGGATACCACATTCTTCCAGACCTGGAGCCACAAGCACAGTTCAGCTTGCCTGTCTTTGGAGGATCGAGAAAATAAATTATCAGTTATCTATGAAAAGATAGAAAAAGACTTGATGGTGAGTGTGAGGAAGTTGGGGACAGACTGGGGACAAGGATGTGGGAGGTGGTAGCCAGAGACTAAGCAAGAGCTCTGGGAGTGGTCTACATAGGATCGGCAAGTGCAGGCAGGCTCAGAAAGAAGTCCCAAAGTTTTGTGGCAGGAAGTCAGGGTACTAGAATCCAGATTGATTCACTATATCCTGGGTCTTCTGATTCCATTCCATAATGAAAAATGCAGTGGTTGTAATTTTTTATCTTTCTGTAAGTGTTTCTTACCCCAAAAGCTGCTCACAGAAGCTAAGTAATCTGGGAGAAATCAAGGTGTGAAAAAACACAGGTTAAATTATCCAGAACAAATGGTTAAAATAAGACCGAAATATTCATTCATTCTTTCATTCATTCAACAGATTTATTAGGTATATCCTATGTGCCAGACACTGTGCCTTTAGCAGTGGAGCAAACAGACAAAAAGTAACATGTATACTATGTCAGAAGGTGAAAATGTTACATGAAAAAAAAAAAGCCAAGAAAAAAAGGGTGTCAGTACATGATGTGTGCTTTTGAGGGGGTAGAGGTACTGTTGCTATTTTAAACAGGGCAATTAGTCTTCACTGTGAAGAAGACATCTGAGAAGACACCTGAAGAAGGGGACAAGCTAGGCTTTTTAGATGAGCTTTTCAGACAGATTAGTAGCAAGAGAAAAGACTCTATCAGAGGCAGGCCGTTAGCTGAATAGCAAGGCAGCCAGTGTGGCTAGAACAAATTGAGGAGAGAATATAAGGACATAAGACAAAGTGATAGGAGAATGTTGTCTTAGGCCAGGACAAGGAAAATAGTGAAATATATGAAACCATAGAATAGTTCAATCGGTTCGACCAAATAGCTTTTAAAATCATTTGTTGCATATTGAGGTTGTACTAACTAGGGGAACAAGGGCCAACCCAAAGGAGACCAAGTAAAAGATAGTTAAAATGGTGGAGGTGAGAGATGCTGATGAAGTAGTAGAAATAGTGAGGAATGTTCAGATTCTGTAAATTTGTTTCTTAAAGGTAAAGAGTCAACAGAATTTGCTGATGAGCTGGGTTATAGGATGTTAGGAAAAGAAAAATTAAGGATGACCCTGAAGGTTTTGACCAGACTGATACAGGCCAGCTCTGTTATAAAAAAGAGAAATTACTGACACCAAAGGGAAAATGTCGAATCTCAGATCTTCCACACTCCTCTTTTAGAAGGCTACCAGAAATCATTCAGTAGTCTGTTTATCTGTCAGTTCCTCAGACTCGGTCCTGGCACCCATCCCTGTGTAAGCACTGTTGGGGTGTTATGGAGAGAAAGCGCGGTGTTGGACCAACATTCTTTTATCTAGCATGGGAAAAAGTCTTGAAAACCTTAAAAAGCCCCAGTGGGTATAACCAATAAAGTAGGGTTGAACAAAAAACTGGAGTAGGACATGGGGATCCCTTATCCAGGACTCACCACATTTGGAGCCAGGAATTATTCTGTGAGACAAGGAAGAAGTGGAGGTATGTTGAGAAATAAATGGTTTAGAAGTAGCACGTAGCTTTATAGATGACTCAGGCAAGTCTTTTGTCTCTCTGGTCTCTAATGTTGTTTTTCTAAATTTTCTTTCAGTGAATAGCTGAAAAACTGTGTGTTGAGAGGCAGAGTGTGGTGAATTTTATACCACTAGGGCCCTTATGCCTGAAGAGAGCCAGCTCACTAAAGAGAATGCTGAAGTGCAAATTCAGTTGTTAGGTAGCGCTAAATTGCTGTGACTATCTCCCTTTTTCTCACTCACTGATATCTTTGTTCAAAGCTGTTAGGGGCCACAGCCATAGAAGACAAGCTGCAAGATGCAGTACCTGAGACAATCATCACCCTGAACAAAGCCAAAATTAAGATACGGGTTTTAACTGGAGATAAGCAAGGTAAAGAGAAGCTCCTAGCCAGAACACTGTCTTTCCTGCCCACTTTAGCCATTTCTTTCCTTCTTCATTTTCCTTTTTTTCTTAGCAACTTGCTTGACAAACACCTATAACTCAGATTAAGTCTTTATAGGACACCTTCATTTCCAGTTTTGTATACAATTTGCTGAGTATATACTTTATATCAGATGTTATACTAGTCATTGAAAACATAGAGACAACATGACCCCCACCAGCCAGGAATTTACAAGCTAAAAACTTTAAAGACATCTTTGACTGGACCCTCTCTGTTGTCCCAAGGATCCATTTTCTCATTGCATCCACTAATTTGTCTGAAATGTCTCTTGACTATGCCATCACCTTGGTTCAGCTGTCATCCCCTGTTTTTTGTAAAAACTTCTATTTCCTACCCTTATTAATTTCAGAATAGCTACATAAAACCATCAGTTTAATCTTCCTGAAATATACTAATTTTATAATGTTACTCCTCTAGTCAGGGACCTAAGTGACTCCACCTTGTATGTCAGACTCTGTCTGGCCTTCCAGATCTTGATAATCTGCTGCTACCTTGCATCCTTATCTCCATCCTAATGTGACTGTTACCTTCAATATGTCCCAGATAAACCAATTCCTATTCTAGAGCCTCTGTTTGGTTGTTTCTTCACTTCACACTACAGATATCTTTTCTTTACCCTAAACAGTGTTATTCATGTTTCAAGGCCTTCCTGTAAGAAAGTTTCTCTGACAATTGCAGTCTTTTCTCTGAATTCTGATACTGCTACTTGAATCCAAGATTTGGAACTTTTTTTCCCTTAGTATGAATTTATTCCAAATTCTGGATTTTTCAACATAAGGAAGGACACAAGTTAAACATGCCTCAGTCCCACATAAAATCTAGCATAGAAAAGGACACATCACTGTTCAAAAAAATACATCCTGAATCAGCCCGCTGCAGACAGGCAGGTCTGCCCACGCCCTACCGAGGTCCCGAGTCGCAAAGAACACGCCAAATCAGCCCACGGCCCGGCAACAATCCACTGGACCCCACCCCCTGCTCCTCTGTACAGCCACCTGGTTCCACACTACAAAGATGCAGAGGACATCGGACCACCAGACCATGGTACTGAGTCCCACTGCTCCCGGCCCAGAGGTAGGAGCTTCTGAGCCACCATTCCACTGCTCCTGGTCCAGAGGAAGGGGCTTCCTGGTCACCATCCCTCCCGCTGCTCCCAGCCCACAGGAAAGGACTTTTAGGCCACCATCCCTACCGCTGCTCCCAGCCCCTGTCCCACCTCTTCCAGTTCAGAAGAGGTAATCCGTGCAGGCGCTAACAGCGCCCCCCACCCCAGTAGAAATGAGAAAACACGTAAATAAGTCTCAAAACCAGACTTCCAGATCACCTACAGCAACCTCAAAGGGAAATGAGATGCAACACTCTGATACTCAACCACCTGGACCCACTGAACTGGCAACAAAAGGGGATCTGGAAAAAATGAAATCAGAAATAATTTCT